CTGAGGAGGGATCTGTTGAGCCCGCAAATAACCTGGGGGGCTTTGGGACTAAGTTGGGCTCATACTGTGCTCTTAGCAGGATCTCCTGATCACTGACAGACTTGGGCATCTCAGCAAAATCACTAGTGCTGTCCGATACCATCATGCAGTAGATGTCCTGGAAGGAGCTGCTTTTGCTGTCCAGATTAAAGAGGCTGTCTATAAACTCGGCAAACTCCAACACTTGCGGACTGGGGTCATCACTGAGCCTCCCGTTCTGGAGGGTCAGTTCCTCCTGAGCAGTGAAGGAAACGTGGTCTGCATCGCTGCCAGCACCGCCGTCACTGCAACGCCGCTGAGGAGTGGTGTCTCCACTGTTGTGCAGGGCCTCAGGAGGCTGAGTCTCCTGGGAGTGTTTGGAGAGGCTGTCAGCAGCAAGCAGCTCTGTCCGTGAGCTGAGGGAGGGGTTTTCCTCAGGGATTGCTGGGTCGATATAAAAACAGTGAGTCTCATCTTTCTCCATGACTGCATGGAGGCTGGGTGAGCCGCGGATGCTACGAAAACCAGAGGAACGCCTTGAATCAAAGCTGTAGATGGATTCATTATCCGACAGGCTCTCCATTGTAGCAAGAGGAGCACGCCGGTCCTGCAGTTCAACAGACAGGCGTTCCTTGGTATCTAGAAGCAGCAGCTCCACAGGATCCTTCTGTACTGGAGATAGAAGCTTGGTCTCATAAAACCCTTCCAAACTGATTTCAGAGTGAGCCTTACTCCTGCAAATGGAGAAGACAAAAATATGAGACTAATACAAGGCTACGCTATGATCTCTTGGAACAAACCACAGAAGAGAACACCGCAGATACAACTCCTCATTTATGACATCACGATATCCACCAACACCACAGCAGTTATCACATAGCAGGAAGGAATACGTCCATCAGGGGTCTTTAGTAGATCTTTCTAGAAAAATCAGAGCCACATCCTTACTTAGTGCTGCTGTTCCTTCTGTCCACTACAATGTCTCCAATTCCAATCTGCACAGAAGGCCTAGGCAGAGGCTGATTCTGGAAGATTAACTCCGGGTTGAGGTCCACTTCTGTAGGACTCACCATCACTTTGGCTGCAGAAAGCAAGGCTGTTTTGCCTTTGTTATAATTCTCCAGTACCTGTGCAAAATAAATTGGTAGAGAACAGTTTTCTTCAGTTATCATTTCCAACCTAACCTCACTGACTTTTGACATAAAAGTCAAATGTCCCACAGCGTGCCTAAAATGGATTGCAGCATCATGTTATATCAGTGCTTTTGATTTTCAACAAAAATTTTGTATGTACACCTCACATAACATCCGTCCTTTTCTTCATCTGTGAATCAGTTTTGGTGATCCAAATGATTCACACCAAGATGTTCAGCACAAACATTTTGGTTCGTCTTCTATCCCCTCTGGTACCTCCCCAAATAATGCCCATTATTACCTTGTTAAGACCCTCCATGACCACATAAGGCAGGTGCTCGTGTAGCATTGCTGGGGAAATTATCACTTCGTTAAATGCTTTGTTGTCTCCCCAAATGGCAAAGTATGTGGGTTCCTCCTGATCACAGCAGCTGGGGGGAAAGTCAAGAAAGGCACAGTCATGGGAAAACAAGCAAATTAGAGGGGGAAGGAATGATGACCCCAGAGAAAAAACACTGGGGCACACAGTGGGGCTGGGTGTAGGGGACATCACTCTAAGGACCCAAATGAATAACAGAACACAAAGGCAGTTCTTTCAGGCCCATATTCTAAGACAGAAGCATTCATATCACATCTTGTCCTGCACAATTAACTGACATTATGAAATGCTATAATAAGGGACCAGCAGAGAACAGAAGCAAACAAGACTCAAGCAGTTATCTCCTGTCATCTATCTCTTTCCCCACTACAGTGCTCCTCTACTAAATACCATTTCAGGCAGAAGCTAAACTGCCAAGAGAATAAAGCCACAGGCTTCTGCAGATACCTTGGTATCATGGCTATATTCCCAAGGTTACAATGTCATCAAGAGTACCTGGTTATTACATAATTTTGTCATTCTAACACTCAGCTGCATTTCCCATTTTTTAATTCTATAGCTTGGAATGTTACATTCAGCAGACCAGGCAAACAAAACTAGATGCATGTAAATGCATACCTAGAGGTTTTTTAATATTAATAGTTTATCCTTGATGAAATACTCACTGACTGCCGTGAACTACCTGGCCTAAGCTTTTGTTTAGTGAGTGTCTTCTCAGTTTGGGTCAATTAGTCTCCCACCCAGATGTAAACCATCCTTTGTTCCTGGGTGGCTTTGCTTTTTGGTGGGGGGGGGGAGGTGACAGTTTAAGACCCCTGCAATTTCCACCCACCACGGCTGGTACTATGGGATAAATGCAGAGCACATAAAACCAAACTAGAGTCCCCATGGGGGAAATTTAATAATATCCATTTGTGCTGCACTATCAATAAAGGTGCCACCAAAATTACAAGTTAGAAACTCTCAGAAAATAAGATCACCACCACCACCACCCCACCCTGGCCACCAAGAAAGCCCATCAAACAGTTTGCTGAATATTATTCCCAGCTCTACCCACCAGCACTGTTCAGCAGGATGATTGTGAACAACATGAATGATGCGCCCAGGAGGATAGAGTGGTGTGCTTGCTGACAGGGCGATGGTTAAGTCACTGGGATGGGTCCAGAGGCGGTGACTGGTTACTGAATTCACTTCTTGCTCTTCAGGGAGCTCAGACTTGGGAATGCATTTTGTGGCACCCACAATGATTCTCCACTGTCCAAGAAAAGAGAAAGGAAAGGAGGACTCTGAAGTAATGCAATTAAGTGCAAGGCTGAAGTGCTGACATTATATCATGGTACAAAGGGGAAAAGTTGAGAAAACTTCACATTTGGGCTGATTATTATTTTTTTTTAGAAAATGCATTGTGTTCCCATTTGACACTCATAATGCAGAAAAGAAGGCAGCAATCACACTATGGACTAGATTCCTTGGTTTGTATATTAACAATAATAAAAACATGGAAAAACAGCCATCTATCTATCTAGCTATCTATCTATCTAGCTATATCTATAAATCACTGAGCATATCTGATTATGAGTTCATGCATTCAGAGAAGAAGCTAGAGTTCATCTCTAAGAAGCATCTATCACCCCAGGTTTCTACTTTGAGCAAGGACAAGTAGCAATCTCATTTGAAGGAAAAAACTTCCAATTTTTAGGGGCAACTAGTGATATCATAAATCTGATCATTTGTGAGCCAACCAATTACAGTTGTATCTTGGAAGTTAAATGGAATCTGTTCCAGAAGTCGATTCGACTTCCAAAACATTTGAAAACCAAAGCATGGCTCCTGCAGCCAATCGGAAGCCCCATCAGATGTTTGGCTTCCAAAAGAATGTTCGAAAACCGGAACACTCACTTTTGGGTTTCAATCGTTCAGGAGCCAAAACATTCAAGAACTAGGCTGTTTGAAAACCAAGGTACGACTGTACTTATTAGTTATAGTTCAAATTAGATGGAAGTTTGGGGTTATATTATTGTAAGAAAGAAAGGAGGGTAGTTGTCCAATAGGACGTTATTAACATTTAGCAGGCAGTGTCTCAGGCAAACTCCCTCCTAGCAACGGTGATTAAGACATGCGAAATCTACAGAATCTAAATATAGGGAAAATATTATAACTCAGTCTGGTGACTTTCCAGGCCTGACATCACACACAAACAGAACTACATTTGATCAAAAAGAATACTAATGTTAATATATAGAACTGCACCTCTCTTTACCTCATCAGAATAGCACCGTTTCCTTTTAATTTTGGCTCCTTTCCCTGATAGTGTATTTAATTATTACCTTCTCTTGTCCTGCACACTGAGCTATCCCAGTATCACACAACACACAAGAAGCAGTTACAGAGTTTGCTTGTGTGTTACTTTCCCAGAGTAAACTTTTTAAAATGTGTTATCACTGCTGTGCAAGTGTAACAGCCTTCAAAATACCTTGTCTTCTTAATGGCATATTAATGCAATTGAACAATTGTGGAATGGGCAAATAAGAAAAACGATAATGGGAACTACCTTGAAAATAGATTCAACTAAGAATACCACACCTTTTAACCCAGAGGGAATAGTCACAAGGGGATCAAGGCAGGCACATGTCAAACTATGCCAATATGCCCCAACTGGCCAGAGGCTAAATTATCAGATTTCTAACTAATTACATTTCACTACAAATGGAATTCAAGTAGTAACAGGAAGCCCCTCTCTCATTTGAGACAGTTTTTAACAAGAAGGTAAGAGGCTACATTAATCTCTGGCTGTAGCACAGGCAGATGCTATATGACAGATACACATGAAATTTACATTTAGACTGTGAATCTGCAGTAAGGCAGACAAGGTCTAATCTTAAAATAACTAGGATTAGGTTGCTTATGCCACTGCTGTTATCATGAATTTATCACAGACCTGGGACAGCAGCCAATGAAACATGAAGTCCTAAACAAATAAAGGTGAAGCAGTAACCTTTTCAGCTACAGTCATACCTCATGTTACATTTGCTTCAGGTTGAGCGTTTTCAGGTTACGTCCCACAGCGACCCAGAAGTACCAGAAAGGGTTACTTCCAGGTTTCGCCACTCGCGCATGCGCACACAAAATAACATCACGCGTATGCGCAGAAGCGGCAAATCGCGACCCGCAAACGCAGGTTGCATTCTGCTAATGTTGCAAACGGGCCTCCGGAATGGATCCCATTTGCAACCAGAGGTACCACTGTATTTTAAGAATGCACGTGACACAAATAATTTAATTTCAGATAGACTTGAAATCTTTCTTTATTATTTTACATATTAACCTGCCTAATTTTCATATCCTGCCTAATCTGGCTAACAGATTAAAACATCACAATGGAAATATATGGCAACCTCCATTTTAACATCAAAAGCCTAAAAACACAAGAGAGTCCAACTCTTCTTGCCTTTGGTTTGTTACTTCTCTGCAGAACATCAAGAAGCTGCCGGCGAAATCCCTCCAGTTGTGAGAGCCCAATCCTGAGGGATAAAGAATATCAGATGCACTGATGCAGGTATAACTATTAGGAGGAGCACATACAGGAAAGTAAAGAGAGATGGGGGATCAGAGTAGACTTACCCACGGTTCAGTATAAGGCTATTTTATACAAATATACTGAAGGCAATTCCTAACCCGTTAGAAAGATACGAGCAGATACATTACGGATAATCCAACGAGTAAGTGAATAATACAGTAGGCAAACTACTTAACTAAAACTATATAGATAACAAAAAATATGACATAGGGGTGTGAGAAGTCAATACTCAAAAGAGAAGCAGGCTATCAAAATCCATTTAACCAAGATAATGATTCAGAGATTTTAGATGCCATATGACAGGTAAAACAAGCAAACTAGGAAGACGGAATAGAAGTGTGAAGTACCACTATCCAGATAATCATAGATAAACAGGCGGGAGATGCTTCTACATAATGGGTACTGAACTTTTTTTCCCATCTCAGGCAAAGAAAAGCAGGCAGCTTCCCACTCCAGCATGGAGAGACTGCAGTCTTCTCTGCCTCAGATGCGTGGAGGAGCATGATCTACATGAGGACAAAGGTACACTTGGATGATTCCTCCCTTCGCACCTTCCTCTCCACTGCCATCTCAATAAATTTGGTGATGGGAGGCATTTAGTGGAATAATAGTTGGGGCATCCATGCTAACCTCATGGAAGGGCTGCATGCCACCTATGGGCCACAGATGTGTGCTAGGACAAATAAAATGCAAAAGGATATGAGCTTTTAACATAAAAAAGAGCCAAGAACCTTATACACAATTGTGAGGTGGTGAGAAATGAAAAAGCACACAGGTAAGCAAGAGATGATAATGCACATAAAACGATACACAGTACACAAGTGTAAGATGACACAGTTCACATACTACAGAGATGCTAGGCAGGAGTGAGGTGACAACACGTATAGCTCAAGATACAGTGCAAAGATGGAAGATGACACGGAAGATATAGCCAGGAGACAATTCACAGGTGTAAGATGGCTCAGAAGAGGTGACCTGGGAGAGAGCACAAATGTGTAAATGACAGCACAAATAACTAAGGAGATGGCAAATAGATGCCAGATGCCACAATGAACATAATTGTGGAATCAGAATATTCACCTTTTTCAGTAATACAGGCAACTGAGAGATAGGGGAGGGATATGCCAATACACAGGTATGCAATACATCAATGAATGAGTTCAGGTAAAAGACACAGCAATACAGGTAGCTAGGAAAATAGGGACAAGCAAGACGGGGGTTGAAGATTGGTAAATAGGAAAATGAGACAAATGTGAATTGGGATCTTTCAGAAAGGAAGCACGGAGCTTTGGTATAAAACTAAGAAATACTGAAACAAGAAATTTCAGACTTCTTGACTTGCCTGGGGACTAGGTCTTTGCCTAGGACAACTGCTGTAACAAACTCTTTGGAGTACTCCATTGCATCCTCACTAGAAGGGAAACAAGAAGGAACTGGTGGGATTTCATTGTCAGAAAGAGACACTTAATATCCAATTAATTCTCTGAATCAGAAATGTCCGGTTTCCAAATTTATAAGGCTGGCACACTGCCTGTTCGCTAAACCAACAGCCCCCCACCCCCGGTACTATTCTAGAGATAAAACTCTGAAATATACTCCAGTGTGGTAGCCCAAACGTGAACCAGAGTATTCATCATATGTTGTACTTCATATGGGCAAATCCAGAGTGCATTTGAGAAACGCAGAAAGTGAAGAAACACTACATTGGCATCTGGATGGAAACATTTTCATATAATGAGAATGAGAGCAATACCAGAATGCCCACCATCAATATATAACTAAGCTAGCCCACATGAGGCTTAGTAGTAGAATGTGGTCTTAATTCCAAATAAGGAACCCACGCCCCAGAAGTGTCACAAAGAAAAGAAACTATAGAAATCAATTTCTTTCAGGGTTAATTGACCTGTGATTCCCCATCCAAATACAGTGATATGATTTACATCACTACTGATGTATTGAACAACTGTGGCCACAGAGTCTGTCATCATAGGCATCCCTCTGGGCATTCAACAGAAGCAACTCCTATCTGTGACAGGGCACGTCAGAAGTTGACACCTGAGGTAGGTCAACATCCTGTTCTTAGCTTTCATTTTTTTTTAAAATCATTAAACCTGAAGATGCAAGCCTGAAAATGCACAGAATAGGCCTGCTAAAATCTCAGATGCTATGGCTCCCCCTTCCCTTTATTTAATAAATACAAATACTTACCTTAAGAGTCCACCTGGGGGAGAGTAGGCATAGCATTTTAGAGTTGGGTACTGAGGACGCAGCAGGAAGGACAGAATGGCAGCTGTGCCTGCCCCTAAGGAATGGCCCACAACAATTAGGCCATAGTGTTTTGTTCCTCTGCCCTACAAAACAAAAACAATTAGGTATTTGCATAATTTGGCAATTCTTATCAAATCCTTCCCCCTTTAGCTAAAATATAAGAGAGTCTAATGTGAATCTCATCCCAGCCATAAACTCACTTAGGTGGCCTTAAGGCAAGCCACTCACAGATCCCTGCCCCAAATCTCCAATATGAGGAAAAAACCTTTGAGTATTACAGTAAGAGAATGTATGTAAGGCACTATAAATGCACTCAATTATAGGATAAATATAAAAAGCAAATCTTGAGCTTGAGTAATTACAAAAGTCTGGAGCCACAGTCTAAAGAACAGCAGGATTAATTCTGAAAACAGACTGATGTGAAAGAAAGGCAAAAAGATTGCAGAGCACTCCAAGGTCGTGCCATCTATTTCTGAGTTGTGTCATTTTTACATATTTTACTTTTCATTCTGTTCTGCAATTTTAGAAGGCCCTCTCAAAACACATTATATATTTAAATACGTATTTAAGGACAACATCAAAATGTGTATTTTACATATGCTTGAACGGCTAAGGACTGTATCTCAGCATTAGAGAAGTGTTAAAATTCTGTGGAAAGCTAAATTCCAATTTGCACATTAGTCCAAGATGTGTGAATCGGATCATTTCATATATATTCACAAAGACTGAATTCCTTACACATCCTTATAGTAGGCTAATTCTTCTTTGAGCACTTCCTGAAGAATATTTAGTATAGGCAACATACACATACTCTGCTGTCAAAAGAATTATAGATGTAATGATACAGCACACATTGTAATTTGTTGTATAGAACAGATAGGTTAAGTTGTTCTTTATGTGTGCACACATGTGTGCAAAATTACTTCATAATTTATTGCAAGACTCAAGCAAGTCATTAATGTAGAAACTGATTTTCAATTGAATTTTACCTGTTTTTAGCATCTTGGAATAAGGTGATTTTTCTGCCTTCCTTTCCATTTCCTAACTTCAGTGACTTATTTCCCCCCAACACTGTTTCCAGTAACTGTTCAACAGAACAGTAAATTATTCATCTGGTGGCCAAGGGCACTGAACAGCTACAAATGTTAGAAGTGTTCAGATGTTGACATTGTTTCTAGTAATTCAGACATAATGTTCTATAGTTAACAGAGGGACGTGGGTGGAAATATGAACCTATCTCCTGACCACAATGCACAGAAGCCTCACCAAATCACGCCCAAAGGCCTGAGAGAGCACCATCTCCTGCTCTAGTTTCTTTTTGATGTACTCAGCAGACAGCACCATCCCCTAAAAGGAGGAAGAAAGGACAAGTGAAAAGGTGAGTTTTAGCACAGCTGAGTGGCCTGCATTAGCACTTCAATAACATATCTGATCATACTCAAATGATCAATGTGCTCTTAGTTTTTCATTTCTTTTTCCTTCAGACCCTCCCTGACTCCTCTTTCCCCCTATCTCCTTGGACCATTTAAAGGGCCCTAGAACTATGAGGTCACTCACCATCTCCAACATCAACCAGCTATTGGTGAAGTGAGCTCTCAGTGGCTGAGGATCATGTTACCCATGGCTGATGGTTTTCATGAACATCCTGGCTCAGCAACCACCAGGGGTAGGAGGGCTGTTGCACAAACCTATTCTATTTTTCTAAAAAAGTCTTCTTTCTCCTGCTCTCACTACATGTGTCAGAGATAAAAAGGGCATGTTCCACATTCTTCAGTCCTTCTCTAATACCTCAGCTGTTTTCCGTCTACTGGTTTTTCAATTCTAGCCATAACCAGAAGGGTTAATATTCATTCCATATCCCTTACATTGGCACTGTGCTTTCTATAGCCCAACACAACAGTTTTAGTAATAACCCCCCCCCCCACTATATCCTTAATTGATTATACTCTTCCAGAATTTCCTTTTTTGACATATCTAATATATGGAAAAATAATCTGATTTTTCTCTCCTGCATCTCCAATGCTCATCACAGGGGCCATGCACCACGTACAGACCATTTTGTCATGGTTTCTCTTTATAGTTGACCTATACTGATAATTTTCCAGGCGCTTACAGTGCTGCACAAGCATGGTGTCTTGCGTTGGGTGTGGCTGCAAGACCGCAAATGGTAATGCTGCCTCATCAAGCACAGAGCCATTGTGCCGCATTGTAAACCTATTTCTCAATGCAGTAGCTTTTATGAACATTGGCTTTTTTGAATTCAGTTCTGCAACAGTCAACTGTTTTCTGGACTCCAGCAACCTTGTGAAGTTATTACCAGGTGTTGGTTCTTTGGTGTTTTTTTTATTTGACTAGCAACTTCGACGCACTTGCATTGTTACTTTTTCAGTAGCGGCACTTTACAGTTATGTCATGTCCTTCATGAAAGGATCACAAATCATTTTAAATCATTTGCTTTCAAGAGGAACTGAGAAAAGAGAGGGCTGAAATTATAGACCAACTAGGTAAAATAAGAAAGTGATGACTACCTTGTGTCCAAGCCAGGTTCCATGATGACCTTCCACAGGGAGACGCTCAGCATCTCCAGTCAGGTCAGTCAGAGCATCCTGGAGAACCAATTGTATATTAGAATGAATCATAAAATGCTAATGAATCATTTCTACAAGAACAGTGCAATGTGAAATGTGGGAGCAGAGGATTCCTAGGAGCCCAGCATGAAATGGCATCTATTGTGAGTGAACAGAGCACGACTCAACATTACCTTTGGGGACAAAGTTCCTCGGATACTGATGACCACTTTCTTCTTCTCATGATCAACAGCAACATAGAAGGGAGTTTCATAGACCTAAAGGAAATGCAGCATCACATCAGTCTTGCCTAAATATAGCCTTACTGAAATGAAGTGATTTTCATCCTCCCAACAAACAAGTAAAACAGCTAGCAGATAAGCCTTCAAAGGACAGCAGCACCCTTGAGCTCAATCTACTTGAGCATACATAAGGCGTTATCTGTATATTACTGATAGTAACTTCAGGCTATAAATTAGCTGCTAGACCTGTTGGCTTAAGACATGGCTCTGAAATGCCCCAGAAATGTCCTTCAGAGCAAGGAAGCTCTTAGATGGTCCTTACCGCATCATGACAGGAAGTGTACACAATGTCCACAGAGCTCATGTTTTCATCAAGAAAGTGGCGACGGATGGCGATAGCATTGCAGCCGCAGCAATTATCTTCCTCAATTGTGACACCAGGTGCATAACGTGGCCGAGAGGGGCAGAGACAACAGCATCTTTAAATAAAAAGTACAGGTAAATAACATTTGGAAAGGAATGGAAAAAGAGATGAAGGATGAAAGAGAAGCAATAGAAGATCCTAGCTTACTGAAGACATTTTTACCTACACAAAATGCCAGTTCTGTTTTCATTCTGGAAAAAATAATATACCAGCAACCTAAAAGATAGCTCTGTGAATTTATAGGATAAAGGAAGAAATGGGTAAAAATTAAAGAGAAAGACAACAGGTCAGAAAGGAGAAAAGAAAAAAGAAATCAGACTTTATAGAGGCACCAGAACACTATTAACTATTTAATAATGCAAGTTCAGTATATCTGACATAAACCTTAACTATCTGCAGAGTTGACATTATGAATATATGCACTCAAATATAATAAACCTTCCAAACCCTGATTTAGGCATTTAGGACTACAACCTGTGCATGCTTACGAAGACGTAAATTCCACTGAAATCAGTGGACATCCTCCTAAGTAAACATGCATATGAATACTCAAAGGCCTATTAAGGAACAATGAGATGCTACATGGACAGAAATGACATTTCATAGGATCACAGAATTGTAGAGTTGGAAGGGATCCCAAGGGCCATCTGGTCTAACCCCCTGCAATGCAGGAATCTCAACTAAAGCATCACAGCAAGTAAATGTGGATAGGATAAAGTTACTTTGTAACCTCCTAGAAGTGAGATACGTGCAAGCCATTTTTAAAAAGCAAAGGCTTGTGTAGGCCAAAAATGAGACTACAAAAATGGAAGAGAGAATGAGGAAAGGGAAATTAAGGATTTACTAAAGAAGACAAGGAACAATAAATACATGAGTAGAAAGTGAGGAGGAAATGTATACAGAGACAGCCTGGGTGAACACTTACGAGCAAGATCTGGCCAGGCGACAAAGTCCACAGGTCGGTTTCCTCATCAAATACATGGGCCAGCCATAGGCAGCCAAAGCAAAGAGCATATAGTAACAAACCTCTTTGTATCGCAGCATTTCTTGCTGGAGGAAACAAGAGATATTTAGTGTCCTGATGGCATCATTGGAGATGTCTCCCTCTCACTGCTTCAGTATCAGTTCCCTACCCCACAAAATTCATTTTTTTAATTTGTTGGAGCTTCAAACCCTGCCCTCCCTCCTTCTAGGCTTCTCTAGTTGAAAGTAACCACCTACAGCCAAAGGCCATTTTCAGACGCAACACTAACTCATAGTTTAGAGCAGGGGTAGCCAACGTGGTGTTTTCCTGAAGTTACTAGATCACAACTCTCATCACCATTAACCATTGGCCACACTGGCTTGGGCTTGCGCTCTCCTGCCCCCAATCTCGGGGACAGCTGAAAGGAGACTGGAAACACTCATTTCTGCTTTTAAACCACACGAAGTCCCGTATTACATCCAAATCAGGGGAACGCTGGTTCATTTAAACCACAAACAACATTTAAGCTAACCCAAGGTTGCACCAAGTTCAGCTGTAAAGAGGAACAGAAGTCTGCATCTGAGGCTCTTATTCCCGCAGCATGCAAAAAGGGTTTGGGCTTCTTGACTGCCTAAGAGGTTTCACAAAGTGAAAGTGCATTTGTACTTCCTTTTTCGTGCTTCTTTTTTAAGATACATTATTTAACAGGACAAGGACTTTATCCCTACACTCATAAAGGGAAGAAGGCACATGTGGCTTGAGAAGTTATGAATAGTTTGGCCTGCAGGTAACATCCAGAGCATCATACTGCTTTCATTACATAAAATTGGGTTGGGAAAATTAAATGCCGAGCAATTCATGCTGCCACTTCCAGCTTTAAACAAGGCTCTGTTCTTTTTGCTGCAACATACTAATAGGCCTCTCCAGTGCTTTTTTTCTAAAAAAAATGTTTAGGGGTACTCTCATTTTGACTGAAGAAAATCACCATTTTATAGTTCAAATTGGGAAAAATAAATACAGTAACTGGACAAAAGTACAAAGATTCACAAAATGTTTAGGGGTATGCATACCACTGCGTCCCCCCAGAAAAAAAGCACTGTGCCTCTTCATTTTTTACTATTCTGATTAGAATAAAAGTTTGCATTAAAGGAAATACAAGATGACTGATTTATTGGGCGTTATAAGCTAGTGTGCACTCTACAATTGTATCAAAGTAGCATTAGAGTCTGATGACTTACTGAGTTTTTCAGGTCCAGATATTTAGTGTTCCTGGTTACTGGCATCCCCGACAAGAAAGCTAGAATATCGTTGTTTGCCTGTAAATCACATAATAAGAGACTGAGATCATGACCCTGAAACACTCCATTTGCACTCAAGGAGAGGGAAGCTCCATTTGGCTTGGATCACTGTTAAGGAGAAACAAGATTCTCACTCTATTCTGCCAAAGTTTCATCATAGTTCTGTTTGTCTTCCTAACACCTCCACTCTAAAGCCTAGAAACATGAAAAACTAGCCACTATTTTTAAATGGTTTATTATTATTTCAGCTTTGTCCCTCCTTTTTTCCATCATGGAATTCAAGGGAGTAATCCATTCAGACACAGACCAGACCTGCTTAGCTGAAGCATGGTGGTGCCTTAGTTGCCTTCAGACTATATCCTGGGGCTGCTAGTTTTGTAACAACTTGAAGTTTTTGATCCCTAAAAATCATGATTTCCCACATTCCAGTACCAAGCTGTTTGTGAAGTTTATCAACGGAACATTGAAAAATGCATGTTAAAAAATTTTCATTATTGGTCACTGGGAGGTGACGGACTGTTATATCTTAGGGATAGCTAGGCAAAGATTTAGTGATTCCCCACTTCTGAAACACATGACAATAGGTGAGTAAAAGCCAGATAAACATATCAGTAAAATCTGTATTTCAGCAGTGAAAGAGCACATAAAGCAGTCTGCATACTCACTTCATCCAGTACTGCACTGCGTTTCGCCCTCTGTCGTTGGCGCAGAAGTACCAGGCCTGCTATGATATCAGATGGGACTATGTCAAGATCTCGGAAAAACTCAGCAAAGAGATATGCAATTTCAGAG